GTTAAAGCTGTAGTTTCCATTATTACCATCTTCCTGCTGCAGACACAGTATCACACACTGTGATTGAAGTGAATGAACTACAACTGAGTGCTGATTGATTTTGTGTCACCTCATAAAGTCAGCCTGATAATATTAGTCCAAACCATTTGGCTGTGACATTTGAATCAAGCCGGCTGTAAATTCACACAAAAAAACGTCCAATCTCAATCTTTATTTATATAGCACATTTAAAACAACCTTCAGTTGACCAAAGTGCTTTACAGGCAATAACTACAATATTAAATAACACAATGGGAGTACAATAATAAAACAATAATTAAAAACATGATAAAAAGCACAATAACTAGAAACATATATATAACAAATATATATATATATATATAAAAATGTAATGTTCAACTAGTATTAAAATGAGTCGTATCTCAGCAACATTTTGTCAGACTGTGATCAAAACTGTTCTCCTGGCAGAAGAGACCTCGCTGTACCTGTGTGCAGTGTAGCTTGATGTGCCTGTACCTGGCCCAAAGAACTGCTGCTCGCCTCTATGTATGCTTTGTGTTATTTCTATCACTTTGACAGCCGACAAATCCATGGCTCTGTGCTCAGATTTATGTGGGTTCACTGCAGAGGGAAGCATCATTTATATACAGCAGATATGCAAATAAGCCTGATCTCCTGTTGCAGCAGGACGTAGACTTAACTTACTGCTGATCCAAATTAAAATATATTTCAGGAGAGGAGCTCCCGAACCAACAAGTCTGCTGAAGATGACACTAAGCCTGAGGAATATGATTAAAACTGAACATATTCATCACCTGCTGTGGTCTTTTCTAAAAATAAGCTAATGTCCCCTATAAAAAGAAATGGGTGCATTAGTGCAATGTTTGACACTAGGTAGAAATGATATGGCTAATATGTTGGACTCCGCTGTGACATGTTTACGTGCGTTAAAGTTCAGAAAGGTCTATTTTTCTCATGCTGCAGCACCTCTATTCACCCTCAGTTGGGAGAGAAACTCTTTAGACTTTAGGATTTTAGCCTTTGCAGTTCATTTACATGCACAAACATTTCTATTACACACTACAGGAAAGGAAAACCCCCCCAAAACGTAATAGGGCCGATTTAAGATAGTTCATTACACATGTAGTCATTGTTGGAGAAATGTCGTAATGTGGCTCTTGCAACTGATAATGACACAGAAGTGGATGTAATTGGCCAGAATGTCACAAAAGGATAGAAAAAAAATAGACTGATTTTCAAGCTGTGGATACATGTCTTGAACAACGTTTTAGAAATGCATACATTATGTAACACTAACAAATTCCGAGGCAGACAACATGAAGTTCTTCTTACGCGTTGTTAGACATTAAGCTTGTAGTATCATTACATATTTTTATTACACCTCCTACATCGTGTAGCCGCACTATAATTCATATGTATGGCAGTCCAGTGTGCAAATGATAGCTCAGATAATCAGGCAATATTTCGATATGGTACTATGAAAATTAGTTTTTTTAATATTTTGAGATTTGGTTGAGCAGGGTATACTTGTACTTTTACTAGTCCTTTTATTAGAGATGTGTCTGTTGTTTGTTTTTAGTGTCAGGATGGAACCCTTGTCTTTTTCTCTGCAAACAGAATCTACCTACGGGTACAAATAAATAACCTGAACCTGAACACAACATCCTTTTCTATCTCTGACTGGTTATGTCAACAGTGAGAGTGATTGTGAGAGCACTTCCTGAAACTCACTTCTCCTTTCTCATTCCAAACTACACTGTCAACATTTCTCATTCCCTTTGAACATTGATTCATAAACATGATAACCAATTCATTTAGTAGAAAAGGTCTAAAACCTAACTTTAAATGTTGGCTTTAGGTGACCTCCAGCAATGGTCTGAAACTGTTAGCGCTGTTCATGAGACAAATTGGATTTCAGTGTTTATACTGGAGAAGTCTTACCTTACTCCACTGTATTTGTGTTGACACAATGAACCACGCCTGTCTTGCAATACAAGGTGTCCAAAGCAAACTTGTTGCCCTCACTAAGGTGCCGTTTACACAAGGACAAAACGGGTTGTATCTGCTACTTTTCTCTCGCGTATAGCCCGTTCGTTCACACGAGGCCGACACGTAAACGCGGAAACGGACCCCGCAAACGATAATGGGTCCCAAGGTGGATAGATCTGCAAACGGAACGCACTGGGGAGGCAAACGGCTCTGTGTGTACGCCTCTATACGATCATTTTCTGATAACGATGAAATAGCACCTCCCTCTCCCCACGTCTCCTGCTCAGAGATCAGCTGCTGGGCTCTCAGAAGAGGGGGAGGAAAAGAGAGGCTCCGTTTATTATTCTTATATGATTATATAGAGTCGTTATCAATTTGTTTTAAAGCTCAATAAATAACAAAGAAGACCTCTGACCGGCACTTTTCTAATTTTGTCCGGAAGATGTAAACTTTAACGGACATGTTGACCGACGGAAAAAAAATGTTAACGGAAACTCTGCCGCACGGTTCCCTCATCCCTTGGAAGAGGCGGAGAGGTGGGTGGTTTTCATCTGCTGGTGGACTACCAGAGAGATTTACAGCAGGAGCACACGCCGTCCACCGCGGAGAATAAACAGTAGTGCTGGGGGGAAACGATTATTTTGAAAACGATTAATCGGGCGATTATTTGATCGATTAGTCGACTAATCTAACGATAATTTTTCTGTTGTTCAATTCATAAAAAACGTAATGTAAAAAAAAATTTTTTCACAATACTGTGTCTCAGGGGATCTTAATATTTAAGAACCTATTAATGTATTATACCAAATTAACGGAAATAATCTCAGCTAATTGACGATACAAACCATGTTTACCAAAACACAAGTCTCATAAGAAGCATCTAAATGACCCCTGAGCGAAAAATGCTAACGGACATTAGCACAGAACTCAAGATAAAAGTACCCTTATTACTTATCGTAGCTGCACATACAATATATCCGATTAAAGCTGAGACTCCACAGATTATGTAGGTATATAGTATCATCACTGAGTGATCCGGACTCGCGACAGGGGAAGCAAATACAGTCATCACAACACGTACCTTCACAGAGCTTCTAGGGAGATCGTCTCACCACCGTAGCTGTCAATCTGATCAAAAGACGTGTTCAATGGCATTAAAATGAGAAAAAACGCGGCTGAATCGGTTAATCCATAGGTTTTTAACGTCTATGTATAAAAAAATGATTGAATTTATAATCCATAATTCCATTTTATGTAAAAAATCGGAGAGCAAATGCTAGCTGCTAATGGTAGCCACCACAGCTAGCTGCTGCTTCTGCTAGGCTATGCAGCAGTCTCAGTGAGATATCAATATATAAATATCTTTGCGTTTTGGACTAACTTTAAAATATTCCCATGCTTTTGAAGACCTAGGGCGAGATGTTTTCGTTTGGGGGCTTCGTGCGCAATCCTGTGAGGAGGAGGTGGTAGCCGTTTCAGTCTCCATTGTGTTTGAAGTGCGATTGCGAACTACTTGTTGCTTTGGGTGACCCACGTGTGTGTAGCGACGCGTCGACGCGGAAATATGTCGTCAACGATATTTTGAAGTCGTCGATGCGTCGCTACAGCACTAATAAACAGAAGGGCAACCATGGCAACCATGCTCTGGGGTCTTCTTCGCTGCTTTTGGTGTATTTTGTGGCGGCAGCAGCGCCACTTACAGGCCCGGCATATGTACTACAGCGTTTCCAGCGGGTCGAGCGGTCTCGTGTGAACGGACACGTTAATTGAGCTGAATGCGTGTGAACGGAAGACTTTTTTGAAAACGAATTCGGTGCGTAAACGCAAACGTACCCGTTTCGTCCTTGTGTAAATGGGGCCTAAGTAGTTTGTCTAAGGTCACACTATATTTTAATACAGTGCATAATAGAGTGCCACAGTGACGCGTCCTAAAACCCTGAAGTAAGTTAGCATTTTACCACTTCCGGTTCCTTCGACAAAAAAGCAATGCAATTTCTCCATAGGATTTTGGAAAATAGCTGAAATAAGGTCTGTGGTTGACACACATTTAAGAGACGGATCACGTTTTGTTCTACGACATTGAATACATCAGCAGTGACCCCACTGGTGATTTTTGAAGAGTTTACGTGTCTGAAAAACGATGGTTGTTAACAAGTGGCTGAAGAGGACTACAGAAGTTGTCGAGGCCGTTGTACGTCATTACACCGAACACATAAACACTCCCGCTAAGTTTATTTTTCCCCGTGTTCTGCTTGAAAGCAGAACCTGCGCTCTTACAAACTGTTAAAACAAACGCTTCAACTTGTACAGTTTTGAATCTGTAGTTTTGAATATGGATTTTAAGTTGGCGTGACGTTGAAGCAGCGACCCTGCTGTAGTTGGTTTATAGCATAACGTTAGCATTTTGCTTCTGGCGACTAGATTTATGATGAAAATTATAAAAGTAGGATAGACATGTGGATATTATCCGACTGAACTAAACGTGATCCGTCTCTTAAATGTGTCTCAACCACAGACCTTATTTCGAGCTATTTTCCAAAATCCTATGGAGAAATTGCATTGCGTTTTTGTCGAAGGAACCGGAAGGAGTTTACTTCCAGGTTTTAGGATGCGTCACTGTGGCACTCTATACTTTTAAAGCCTTGGTTAAATATTTCAGTGAAGTTTGTCGGAAAAACGAATTAAAGTGGGTCCAAATCCACATTTAAAATAGTTTCAAAACATTGTCATATTGTGTTTTTACTACTGAATAAAAGTCAGATGTAGAAAAAATGTTTTGCAAATGATTTAACATTTTCTCCCTGATTAACACTTTGTTGCTACTATGTACTGAGGAAATGCATAGAACATGTTTGTATGACCAATGTTGGACAATGACTCTAAGTGACAAACTTGAATTTGAGAAAACCTTGCCAACAAGTCTTTTAAAATATATAATTGTTGTACATCTGTTTAACCATGAGCATGTTTGTCTGTCTTTCCCCCTTCAGTAACGGAGTGGGGCGACGACGTACGGCCGATCTCTGAAGAAGAAGCCATGGTCATCGTCAACCACCAATCCACAGGAGACGTGTGCACCCTCATGATGTGCCTGCAAGACAAGGGCATGGTGAGAACTGAGAGAAATGTGTTTCATCATCCCTTTAAGGAACTACAGGAATGTAACATTAGGGTCGAACACCGTCACGTTGTCGTAAATACAAGCCGTGCAGCAACTCCAGCCTGCATGGTGTTGGCACTGTGTGTGTATTCTGCTGTTTCTGTCTGGGCATGTTGGTGTGTTTGTCGCTGCAGAGGAGGAAATCCTGAATGCACACATGATCTAAACCCTTTAATTATGTTTGTTTTAGGGATGTTTGTCAAAGGTCAGCCAAAAGCCTAACTGGCAGTTATTTGGCCAAATGATAAAGAACAATGTTCAGTTCAAATGAAAGGAAGGGTAATCTTTGAATTATCATACGCTATTAGTTATCAAGTTAAGAAATGCTTTCCTGTAGTGTTTACTCAGAAATTACATGGAGTTCAGTTCAGTATACTCTGATTACGTGCCCCATATTACTTATTAAGGATCATTTCCATACCTTCATTTAAATAACCCTTTTCGTACACTGCGTTTTTCCGACTCACATATTGCCTTTTGGCAGTTAACATTGTTTTTGTAAAACAAGAGTAAGCATTGGTCAAGGGATGATGCTTTTCAAGTCAAAACAGTCGACACTTTTGAAGCAGGCAGCCTCGTAAAGCAGAGCTGTGGTTTGCTGCATTCAAATGACAATATGCGAGTTTGCGCATTGAGCAGAGTTTCCAACAGCAGCTGTGCAAAGACCTGAGCGGTGGCTGACGTGCATTCTTTCACACTGAGCATTTCCAACAAGGCAAGGAAGTGAAACGTGCCCAAACATCAGCACACACACACACACACACACACACACACACACACACACACACACACACACACACACACACACACACACACACACACACACACACACACACACACACACATTCCTCTTTTTCAATAGTATACTTGTTCAACACATCTAATTTACTGCAGAGGATGTTTTTCTTCAGACAGGAAGGTTGACACACTACATCATGTAGAGCTGCAGGCCGTAGTGTCAATCACTCTGTCGCTGTGTTGATTAGGGCGCACAATTTGGTAAAATAGTTCCTTATTGCCATATCATTTGCAATATTAAATGGGTGATCTTTATAGGATCTGTATACCTGGATACCTTGTTAAGTGTGTCGAGTAAAATGATTGGGCTGGGATATCTCTGCACCTCCAAGATCCTTCATGTAAAATTGAATTTTGAGACATATTTTATCTTTACCAAATATTGCTCTTCCTGCGATCAGTATGTTGCACAATCAAATCAAATCCAGTTTTATTTATATAGCACATTTAAAAGCGATTTTTGGTCGAGCCAAAGTGCTGTACATGTAATAAAAACACATTACTACAATCGCATTAAAAGACAATAATAAAAGCTCTACTGTTGATTTTGTTCTTTCTTCTGTGTTAAATGGACATTGTTATTGGCTCAGTTGCCAGGGATGACATGCAGCCACTAATCTTAACCAGAAGCTAATTAATCACACACAGAAATAGCTTCTATTTCTTGAAACATGTTGTCAACAGCAGAGGTTTGCAAATAGAATCACATTCTGTGGGAAACACTGCAACCTGCAGCCACCCTGCTGGAGATTAGCTGTGATTTCTGGGGCCGGTGGGATGCAGCTGTGTTGATGTGTGTTTATTATTTTGTTGTGTTTTTTTGCTGAGGCTGGCTCTGCAACAAACATGATGACATGATCCGCCTCAACAACTGCATCCCTTGCCCAGTTTATCCTCTTAGCACAGTAAGCCAAAGCTGCGCCGCTGCAGGTCACGAGGGTGGAAGTGCTCACTGGGGAAGAGGCAGGCAAAAGAAAAGTCATGTGTTTTGGTTACAGGTAAACACAGGATTGATATTTTCATTGTATTTATTTTTCAGGCGTTACAAAAAATGATGTGGTTGATGGACCATGTGTTCAAATACACAAACTTTGGCCTAGTGTCCCTGATCCACGGGGACTTCTTCATCAGACAGGTAAGAGACCCTCAACTGGCAGCATTGGTGATTAAATACTGGGAGCAAAGAGCTGCAACACAAGAAGTACACTGGGGGGATTCAAATTGATGTCAGACACTGAAGATGTATTGGTAGTTACGGCCGGAGAGTTGACCGTAATGTAGGGCTGCACGATTTTGGGAAAAAATCTAATTGCGATTTTTCTGACAAATAATAAAGATAAAATAAATAGTCACAAAATGCTATTAGGCCATCTGATATAGGCAATAGTGGTTTGAACAATTAAAAGATGTGTGTGTGTGTGTGTGTGTGCTGTGTGTGTGTGTGTGTGTGTGTGTGTGTGTGTGTGTGTGTGTGTGTGTGTGTGTGTGTGTGTGATGTGTGTGTGTGTGGTTGTGTGTGTGTGTGTGTGTGTGTGTGTGCTGTGTGTTGTGTGTGTGTGTTGTGTGTGTGTGTGTATGTGTGTGTGTGTGTGTGTGTGTGTGTGTGTGTGTGTGGTGTGTGTGTGTGTGTGTGTGTGTGTGTGTGTGTGTTGTGTGTGTGTGTGTGTGTGTGTGTGTGTGTGTGTGTGTGTGTGTGTGTGTGTGTGTGGGTGTGGTGTGGTGTGTGTAGTGTGGTGTGTGTGTGATGTGGTGTGTGGTGTGTGTGGTGTGTGTGTGTGTGTGTGTGTGTGTGTGTGTGTGTGTGTGTGTGTGTGTGTGTGTGTGACCCTTGGTTATTTGGGCAGCTGGAGCAGAGCTCTGACAGGTCTCTCAATGAGCCAAAAGGGATTGCTTAGGGGAATTCCTGGAATGTCCTAAAAGTGTCAAGACAGGAAAGAATAATTACTTGCAGAGCTTAACAAATGACAGAATATTATTAAACTAGTTGGCTCCAATCACAAGAAACAAATAGGATATATTAATTGTATCTAGTATAAGGCATATTGAAATGTTCTCTTTTTTGTCCAGGCTTGCAGTTCATTTACACCTTTTTATTGGATTTATTTTACTGCGAAAAAATCCAAGGAAGCTCTAACTTTTTTTAAATGTAATTTTAAACAGTGCGCAAGACATTTCCAAACAATAATAACATGCCCCCAACACTGCAAGCTGATATTGGTATGCATTTTCAAAAATGCCATTTAGTTATGGACTATTAGTTACCAGCATCAGGCGCTCCAACCAAGTGAAAAATGGACACTTTAATTACCGGCTTCAGCACAATTAGAGAGAACATTTCCACACACTCATTTATATGCTGCTGTTTGTGCTTCCTGACAAAGCCTCCTCTGTCTGATATTAGCAGACAGCTGGATGGCTAATATTCCATTCCCAGCAAGTAGAGACCGACCGAATGAAGTTAAATCTTCACATAATAAATCTCATAGCCACAGATAATATCTCGACAACAAACACAAACTCAGAGCACAAACCAGTGTCTTCTCTTCAGTCTGCTCGTCTCCCAATGTTCAATCCAACTATTACATTCATAACAAGGCCGCCACACTGAGCGAGACATCTGTCATTAGTGGACATGTGTTGTTGCTAAGCTATTTATGTCCAAAATTTGAATGTGTTCAATCAATTTGATATATTTAGTTTATACATGTGAGGCCTTTGACATTGTAATGAGCTGATCTGTATTGTCTGTGGAGCTAAACTTAATGGCACAATCTCCAATAATATATCGATTTAAAAATATTGCTATAACGTTCAGTAACATCACTGCTGATAGGTTGTCTAAGTTGCAAACAAAGGTAGTTTTGTTGTAAAATGAATGAACATCCCACTCATCCCACTTTTCGTCTTTGAGCTGCAGAAACACCGCAGCCATGGCGAGAGGGAATTACATTTTTTAGGTCATAGAAATACTTTTGCCGTGGGATTTTAGGCGCTGTGCCGAGGGTGAAGCACCCTGAGCTGCGTACAGCCACACGGGCTGCAGTGGAGGAGCAAACCAAGTGGTTTCTGCCCTCTCCCTCTCCCTCTCTGTGATCCACTCTTGTGTGTGCATTCTTGACATCCTTCCCCAGAATACTTCACACATCCTCACAGCTCAGCACGCATCTGGCCGAGCCTCCTGAGCCTCTGCCGTCCACTCAGTGGCGGACATGTCTCTGACATCGTTTTGCTCAGCAACACATCGCTGGCTTTGATGACCGTAGCTCACTAACTTGTGGTACCGGGTCGTGATTGGACACTTTTTCCTTGTTAGTGTTGGTGTTCTCAAACTTCTGAAACATGAAATTAGAGGCACACCATAAAAAAGTGTTTCATGTTTTTTATTTTAATGATGTACAAAGCCATAAAAGGTTTATATCCTGAATACACTCAAATAACTCAAAAGTTATTACTTTAGTTTCATAAAATCTTTCCCTGCCTGAAACGCCTCCATTGTAGTCCTTTGTTTACTTCATTAACATAGTGACATCACTACGTAACACTCATGCTTCTATTGGCTAGACATGTGATAGCTTTTGGTATTGTATATATTTTGGATGTGCTCCTAAAACTAAGTATAACCTTTCATACTTGTAGTATTTCCTCTTAGTAATTTAACAAAGGAAGTTAGAATACCACACATTTAGTAGTTGATACCAATACCAGTTAATTCTATTATGGTAAAAAAACAACAACAATGAATCCAATGTAATTTTTACCTACATTAAGTTATTTACTACAATTTGCAAACTATTTTTTATAAGAAGTTAGACAGGTTTTATTTACCTCTCAAATACATATAATCTATATTAAAAAAAACGGCATCTATAGAAGTTCTAATTTAAAGCCATAAGACATTGAAACAGCAGAAACCAAAACAAAGCGGCAGCATGTGTTCAGACGACACGGTGCAGCCCCGCTCTGCTAATGCATTTAAAATGGCTTTTGACCGGGTCTAACTAAAAATCAATCTCTCCTCTCCGTCCCGTCACTGCTAATGCTCTGAATGTTGTCAAGGCCATCATGTTTTTTCATCCATTTCAGTCATACTATTTGTTCTTCTCTGAGTGCTCCTGTTGCTGCAGCTTGTTTTAATTTGTTATGATGTTTGTATGCGGACAAAAAACATCCATCAATTTAATTAGATGAAATTAGCATTTAGCCTCAATCATTGTGTTGAAACAAACTGTTAGGGTTTAATGCATTTGTTTTGAAGGTAGTCACCTAGTTTTAGGGGTACTTTTATTAGGACAAAATATAAAATGGGTATTTGCAGCCTTAAAAAGTAATTATTTGTCCATATTGGATTGGATTTAATTTACAGTTAAACTGTTTCTTCACATAAAATGACGGAACACATTTGACATTTTGTATCAACCGGAGATTAGCTCATAGGTTTCCAAGAAAAAATTCTGCATGAAGAAAATGAATAAATTGGACTAAAGAAATCTTTGCGGATTAAGATTATAATTTTTCCCAAATAATGTTTTCTGTTATATTATGTGTCATGTATGGTTGTTGATGTTCATTTGATATTATGTCATGCTCTTTGTGAAAAGCATGTCTCCAGGGATAGTAAACGTTGAATTGATTCCTTCCTTAAAACAAGTGTTGGAGTCACTCCGTGTGTAAAATGCTTTTATTTATTTCCTTATTGTAACTTGTACCTGTTCTACTTCATTTTTTTATTTTTTTTATACTTTATTTTATTTCATATTCTGTTTTACCATATTATTATTTGTCATTTGAATGGAAAAGTCCTATGTCAGGATATGTCATGATTTAAAAAAAATTGAAAATAAACAAAAAAAGAAGTGTTGGGGATTTGAGTCCACTGACGCTGCTCTGGAAACCCTTATGGAAACGGATCAATTATAATATTTTATTTACTCAAACATACTTCCTCTGTTCCCACAGGGTAAAGCATACAGAGACAAGCAGCTGGTCTACCTGAAAGACCACCTAGAGAAATACTACCACAACCGCGACAGGAAGTGGATAGTTCTCTTCCCGGAGGGCGGCTTTTTGCGCAAACGGCGGGAAACAAGCCAGTTGTTCGCCAAGAAGCACTCTCTCCCCCACCTGAACCACGTCACTTTGCCTCGCCTCGGGGCCACACAAGTTATCCTGAAGACGCTGTGTGCCCAGCAGGAGAACGGCAGCGTGGGCAGCGAGACTGGAACCTCCAACAAGACGGGTAAATTAAACGCTTTTTATTTGGCACTCATGATTACTAAATCCATTCACAATAATGTTTGTGGGACCTTTAGCGTTGGTTATGATCAGGACTTTGTTAAATGAGCTTGGGATGTATTTTTGTGCTATTTATCAATCTAGATTGTGTTAGTCTGAGTTGATAAGGGTTGGAAATATCAACCATTGAGATGTCTGACTTTTCTTTTAACACCGATGAAACTATGGAACAATAATGTTTTTTCCAGAAATTAGCCCCCAGTTACTCAACAAACTCCACATACAGATTTGTTGTGCGAGCAGTTTTTTTGTTTAAACGGTTTTATTTCTACCGTTTTCATCGTATCACAGCGCAGGAGCAGGGCTCTCGACTAACTTTTTTCCCCATCCTCCCGGAACCTTCCCGAAATACAATCTAAGCCGTCCCGAAATTAATGTGGACCGTCCCGAATTTAAAATGTTAGTTTTTCTACATTATCATTAGTTAAAATCATTCAAAGTGACCTTTAACATAAATAAAACATCATACAAATCATTAGATGATAATTCATCAACCTTTTTATTTGAGTAAATCATTCAATCACATAAACAAAGGCCAAATATATTTAAACAAACACACAAACGAGAAAATTACTCTAATATTGAATCCAATCAAGTCCCATCCAATTAACAAAACAATCCAACACTGTCCTGAAGACAGAACCCAGAGTAACCACTAACCAGGATGACAGTCTGTAACACAGTCAGGAGACCTTTACAAACGGCCCCGCCCCCTCGCACACAGACGGGAGAGAGAGATCTCGTCTGGATTGGAAAGCTCGAAAATAGATCATAGACGCATGTTGTAGTCTTATTGCATATTACAAACGGAGTTGGTGAAACTAAAACTGCGATATAATGTGTATGTAGCAATAATACATATAACATATATTTTTTAAATGTCTCCAGCACCGATAAAAAGTCCGATAACGTCGGAGCTTAACGTTACCACTGTCTTTAATAATTCCGGCCCGGAGCCCGTTTAACACCGGGGCTCGGTACCCATCCCTACATGGGGAGAGGCGCAGCATATTGCTAAGGACTAAATACGATGGAGGGTTCTCATCTCAGCCTTATTACCCATAGGGGATGAAGAGGAGTAAGTAAATAAAGAGGCTGGCGCTCCAGGGTCTGGTTCTGCTGTGCGTTTTTGTGATGTCACGGTAAAACATTTCAGAATTCTTCCACGGGATGCCATTGTCATTGTACATCACTCAACCTGCGAAATACACACACTCAGTACATAGCTAGACCCTTCACGGGCACAGCCAGCTGGGTGGCTGGCTGACAGCCAGCGGCACAGCTGTAGCTACATGTGTGTGTATTTCGCGGGTTTCTAAATGTTGTGTGTGTTTATGTTGACAAGGAGGTTTAATAACTGTGTGCTACACAAAACGTGCAGTCTGTTTCATTTTCATCGCCGTTTGTAGTAGAGTTAGCAGGGTATTTTTATTTTAACTCTCGTCCCAAAATTATTTTTTATCCTCCCCGACACTATTTTTTTCGGCCCCGGGACGACGGGACGTCCTTAAGCTCGAGCCCTGCGCAGGAGGAAGCATGAATCTACTCATGAAGGATGCGCACGCTCCCTTGTCGGCTGCTGTAGTTCAGAGAAGAAAGGAAATACATTTTGAAATAAAGAATGTAGCCGCTTTTAGCACCACAAGCCAATTTCCAGCTTGTTCGATTATAGTCAGAGAAGAGCAGACACCCCTAAGGCTGATATCTCCAACACTCAGCACCACACACCAAAACAATCACATTTATGAAGAGCATTACAAAAAAAACTGGGTGTACCATCCCTTTCTATGTTTGTTTTTGGTAATTTTATGCCTTAAATGGAAAGTTGTAAGTAAAAGCTCTTTTCCACTTTAATAGCATTGTCAGAGCCCGTTATCCCGTGCCCCTCTTCCCTCAGCACTGACCTTCAGTCATGTTTTCTAGGCTTTTAAGAGGCTATAAATAAGTTCCATGCTTTCTAAAAACAGCATTTCCATAGACATCATCTTAAGTGGTTACCCCTGAAATGACTCCTTTTTGGGTTTTTAGTCCCCTGGGTCACATCACATCTGTAACAAAAAGTATAAATAAACTGCAGGTCACACACTCCAGAGGCGGAGCGGCTGCACTCTTTGCTGTGAGGGCATCTTTTTTTAAACTCATAACAGCCATTGATAAGACATGTTAAATGGATTTTGAGCATATTATATTGGATTTGTGTGGATTATTTGATAAGGGGACCTATCATGCTAAATGCACTTTTTGATGTCTTTTACACATAAATATGTGTCCCCGGTGTGTCAGGGAACTCACAAAGTGTCAGAAAACAAAACTCTCTCTTTTCCTCCGTACCCAAATCTCTAAAAACAGGGGTACAACGAAGCTGATCCAGATTTGCGTCCGATATGACGTAATATCGGAAATGTGGACCCACGGCACTATCAGAAACAATGCCTGACGTATTTTGGACGTAATATGGTCTTCGTTTACATTAGCAAGCATCGCTAACACTCAGAGCTAACCTGTACTGGAGAGAGTATGTGTAAGAAGCAGGATATAAAAAAAGGAACTCACATCATAGACATGTTTTTATATATTTCAGGGTTCGTGCGGTCATTGAAAACCTGGAAAAGTCATGGAAATTCAAAATGCAAATTACAGGCCCTGGAAAAGTTATGGAAAACAATATTTTTCCAAAAGTTTTGGAAAGTCATGGAAATGTAACTAAAGTTGCGTCAAATATAATTTACATTTTATCTAATCGCCGAAATAATCTGCGGTCTCAAGCTGTTATGTGCCATCATGACGCGCATGGTGTTATTTTTTTAATATATGAAGCGCGAGCTGTGTGCTCGAGTCTTCCTGCCTGTCGGGCCGGCTGAACTCTGCTGCTCCGGGTCAGCTACATTATCTACGGTGCGTTCGTTAACTGTGCGGAGTCACTGTGGCACAGACTGAGCCGCTGGTGAACAGCTGTTAGAACGGGCCGTTCAGGCGTTCAGAGCAGAGCGGCAGAGCGTGATGTGAACTGAAACCTTTTTCTGTCGCAATATCATTTAAGGAATCGTTGAGCTAGCTAGCTAGCTAGCATACATTGTCACTATCTGTTAACGTTAGCTTTAGCCTTCGTTTTCTAATAGTTTTGTTCATAGGCTTTAAACAGAGGTGGTATAAGTATAGATATTGTGCGAGTAAAAGTAGAAGTACTCAGATCTTGTACTTTAGTAGAAGTACTCAGATCTTGTACTTAATTAAAGTATAGTACTCAGATCTTGTACTTGAGTAAAAGTAGAAGTACTCAGATCTTGTACTTTAGTAGAAGTACTCAGATCTTGTACTTAATTAAAGTATAGTACTCAGATCTTGTACTTGAGTAAAAGTAGAAGTACTCAGATCTTGTACTTGAGTAAAAGTAGAAGTACCAGAGTGTAGGAATACTCTGTTAGTAAAAGTCCTGCATTCAAAATGTTCCTCAAGTGAAAGTAGAAAAGTATTCTCATCAAAATATAATTAAAGTAGCGACAGTAAAAGTAGTCTTTGTGCAGATTGGTCCATTTCAGAATAATATATATGATATGTTTTATAATGATTGATCATGAAAGTGTTCTCAAAGCTGGTAAAGGTGCAGCTAGTCTGAATGACTTTGTATACTGCAGGGTAGCTTGTGGATTTACTCCAGGTGGAACTAAAGTCTGATTCAACACTTGATTATATTTACCATCATTCATCCAGATCTGTGAAGTAACTAAAGGTATTAAATACATGTAGTGGAGTAAAAGTACACCATTTACCTCTGAACTGTAGTGGAGTAGAAGTACACAGTTGCAAAACATTGAAATACTTAAATAAAGTACAAGTATCTCAAAATTGTACCCACGTATAGTACTTGTTGAGTTTATGAACTTAGTTACTTAACACCAGTGGCTATACAGATAGAAAGACTAAGCCTTGCACAGAGGCATGACAATAGATTTTCAAAATGCTCAACAGTGCTGCCAAAATTATAAACAGACTGCTACACAATTAAAATAAATGCTTTTATATATTTCTATTAGATGTGACTCTTTAACCTTTCTGTTATTATTGACACTGCTGCTTTAGTTGTTCTGACTGCTAAAATCCTCTGTTATTCCTCATTTTAAAGCCGATATTCCATGGGGTCAGGGGCTCGGGTCCTTGTCACCTTTTTCATATTTGATGAGTTTGCCTCCCCGACTACAGTTGCTGTAGAAGCTAGTAAGCCTACTATTTGATTTGTTTTAGATAAGCACAACATGTTTCATATGCAGACCTTATTTTCCTGTTCCATGTTCAAATAAACCATTTTCAGTGGTAATTTTTTTTTGGTCATGGAAAATTAGGTAAAGGTCATTGAGAAGTCATGGAAAAGTCATTGAAAATCATTGGTGAAAAAGTGTATGAACCCTGATATTTGTATATATCGGAGACATTATATATCCCTAAAATTAGCATAATAGGAGACCTTTACTGCTATTCCTGGGGAAGTCTAGCAGATGTTTTGTATTCCTTTACCTTTGCTCTCCAAACACTGTACTGCAGCTCTTGATCAGATGAGATCTTATGTTGCCTAGAAGGCCAAGGATGGAGCATACGTTGAACATGAAGCATTAAATCATCACTGTCCTCTGGGGGTCCTGGTTTCAATGAGATGGAGAGGAGAGGGGTGACATAATTCACTTCAAGGTCCCTGAAACCACAGCGGTAAATTGCAGGAGTCATTTTTATGTCTAGAGACCAGTCCTAAATACGGCCAGGAAGAACATTTAAATATGTTGAGAGGGAAATCCTCAGCACTTGGTTTTATTTGCACATTTCTAAAGACATCATCTTCACTGGTCGGCAATAAATAAATCCTTGTTGGTTTTTCATTCCCCCTTGTCACATTGGTTCTTAAAATAAGACACAACTGCCTACTGACTTTGACAAGAACACTTCTGCCTCTAT